GCTGTCGATTGGTATAACAACAATGGAACACTTTGTACGCTTCAAGCGATAGAACAACATCGCTCGAAGCATAAGTACAGTGTACAGTGTACACAAAAATCTAAGTCACTTGACTTTTTTTTGTTGTTTCCATTGCGTATACAAGTGCGCGTTTGCTCGTTCGCTTGCTTAACTTGCTGTAACTATATCATTATTTCACATTTTGCTGTCTTCCAGTTCTGGCATGCATGTGTTTTCGTGTCGTTGCCGTTAGATTGTCATACTTATTATTCGTTGACATTGCAATCTCCCTGCTGGCTTCTGGTCTTTTGAATGTTAAGCTCATTTTGTTCGATATGTTGTTTTTGTCAAGTTAAACACACCGCATACAATGCACACGGCAGAAGCATTCACTTCCCGAGTATTAAAGGAACTTGCGACAACAGCATAAACACTGACGATGCGTTCCATGTTTTTTGGAATTTGTTGTGATATTCTGTTATTTTTGCATCCTCATTGGAATTTTTATTCCAATTTAATGGGCCATCCATTTTTCTGTCGATACATATATATAGTTCAAATAAATTGGTGTCCGTCGTCTCATGCTAAAATGCGAAGGGATGAAGATGGTGGAAAAAATAACAGATGTGCTGAGTGATTTTCTTGAGAGATAAAGAGAGAGAGAGAGAGTACTTAAGCTCAAGCGAATCTACATTTTCAAAGATGTTCAAGAAGAGAATATCTAAGGAAAACACTAAACTCATTGACTAAGAGCTTTTCATGCTTACAAGCAGCATCGGAGTGCCGATGAACAAAGTGACACCGAAGAAAGAAACAGAAACAAAAAGTGGAAGTAAAATAACAAAGCAAAGATGTCTAGGGGACGGAAACCATTAGCTAGTTTTTTATATTTCAAGTAAAAACTAGGAAAATTAGAAAAAACTAGCAAAAACAAGAAAAATCAGCAAAAATTATTTGATCCGCCATTTTGATATTGTGCCATGATTTGGTGACTAAATCAATTTTACAAGACTATTGAAAGAAACAAGTACTTTATGCACGATTTTGTGTTAAAAAAAGAATAATTAAACTAATTTTCACTATTATAAGTGTATAATTATTCAAAATACATAAAAATATGTCTGAACAACAAAACGTCAAAATACTTCATTGTGTCAGTACAATCATTTGCTTGTCATTTGACAGAACAAAAAACTAGAAAACTAGCAATTTCATAAAGTAATATTAGCATTATTAGATTATTCAAGCAATAAACTAGTAAATTAGCTATAAACTAGAAAAACTAGCATTGGTTTCTCTCCCCTAGAAAGATGTTTAACGAAAAATAAATATACGCAAACAAATACCAGACGAAAGGATGCATTGCATCCGAGCAGCAAAGATGAGTAATTGAGACTTTCATACACGAATATACTTGGCGCATAGCATGTACTGTTCTTGGAAAAATGACTACATGTAGAAGTATTAAGTCCCATGAAAGCGGATCAAAATTTAGTTTAAAAAGTTGCTGCAGTGCAGTGTGTGTCACAACAACTTGTAATAACAACATGCTGTATGATGTATAGCCGTTCATATTTGCAAGTAACAACAACTTCTAAACAATAAAAAAAATCACCGTAGTGATGGTAAAAAGTGACAAAACCAAACTATTACAGATACCAGATGTGTTATTGAGATCAAGCTCATATTTTTGTAAACAAATACTTTTTCGTGTTAAAGAACTAAATAAATGAATTGAATTCACTGGGAATAATACAGAAATCAAACCTTGCATCAACTATCAAATAAAGTTTGAATAATATGACGTACTTTCTTTACATGAACTCTGCTGCATCAGTTCGAAAACGGTCTTAATTTTATTTATATGGATTGTTTCTGAACGCTGTTGAATAAGATCGTCGTTTCCGAAACCGATAAAAAATACATAAAAACATTTTTTATTCATTATTCCATAAAATTGGTACGCGTCTTCCGAATATTTTCATTGCCATCCTGGGTAATTCTGTAACTGCAATGAACGATTGAACTAAATAGCACCTGAACTTCGACAAACGACACACAAGCACACCCACTACGGAATGATTGAAAAACACAGAAAAAGTTGCTGACATTTGCGAGAATCGCATTATTGCGAGAATTGCGTAATCAGTCAAAAGATTTGTGACGCTATCGAAAGTAGCACTATTGGTTTTCTTTTTCGTTGTCACCCATCAATCTGGCCACATAAATACTGGTTGGCATACTTTTACTTACGATTCAAGTAATTTTCACTTTGTTTTGGAAGTTTTTTTTTGCTGTTTTGTTCACAGAGTATTCGTTACTATAATTGGTGTTGGCCAAAACTTTTCCCATCTTATCGTATCAAGTAATTCTTTTTTGGGTCTTTGTATGCGTTAGGATTGAAAGGCTTGAAAAAAGGTAGACTACTAAGGTCTTGAAGACATGACAAACAATCGTTATTGATCAATGTCAGTAGTTATTTCTTATTTGAAATGGGGATGTCGGAGAGATGATGAGAAAAGGACCGGATATCCAAATATATATGTGTTCAAGTCTCATTTAATGTTGTTGACGCTTTTCAGTTGATAGGGCCAAATGGTTTTTTTTTGTTTATGTTCTCGGTTCGTCAAACACACCAGCATCAACAAAATAAGAGCAGTAGCAACCAGTTGTTCCATAACAATTTTAATATTGCCTGTGGGGTCGAACATCAGCCATTAAGTAACTCTGGGCATAGCGTGTGCATAAATTCACATTCGAAGATCTTATGTATATTTATAAATCTATTTATATCGGTTAGTTAGTTGATTTCGATATACAATTTTATAAATACATGAACATATTTATTGGCAACAAATACCGCTGAAATATTGCGTGTATCATGTATCTCATGGACCGTTCGCGCACTGTAAGAGACATGATACATCGATATTATATAAATAATCCAATTGGTAACCATTATTCAATTTCACTCATATCTTCATCCATATGTAATAATACCATAGATTTGTGATTTGATACCTCTCGCCTCTTTCGTATGTATCGATATAATTCATTGTGTTATTTCTTCGCAGAGTCTGGGGCTCATTTCATTATTGCGTGTTTGCAACGAGCATGAGCCAATATAAAATCTACCCAAGAAAGAACTTTTAACGGCACCATCTTATCGTTGAGCCGAAAGTCTGGTGTGTATGTGTGAGCATGTTAATTATTCGAATTTTCATCAAAATACAAATAACACACATACAGAAAAGGATCAAATACATGGCCTCAATATATGGAATGTGCTCGCATAATTTTATGGTTTTGAATATATTGTACGACGTCCTGCGGGGCGGTTTTGTTTGCTAACTGATTTTTCGGTGTATCGACTATTGGTTTTGTTTTTCACTTGGATTACAGCGGCATTATACCCTAGAATATTAGATGATGCTTCGTAAAACCGAATAGAAAGGGCCTCAAACACAAAAATAAACAAAGAATAAGCTCCCATATAAGACGTGAAAATACCAATAGATCTAATAGGTTGAGTCTGAGCACAAAGTTTAAACAAATAACTTATAAGCGTTGGTTAAATTCAATCCCAATAAAGATCAAAATAAAAACTTTTCACAAATTGTTTGAGTTAATGTTCCACAATGAAGATCAAAAATGTATTCGAAATGATGGTTTTACGTGGCGTCAATTTCCAGTGAAAACAAATATTATGTTTTCGCGAATACTGTAGTCGATAAAAGTGCCATTGACACCGTTTGAGAATGTGGTTTTTCTTGCAAAATACCAATTCTTCGAAAATATAAAAAGGTGCTGATGATTTCAGTGAATTCAGGGAATTCGTCACAAATCATTTACGGTTTAAACACTTCAAAAATCACACCAAATTAAAGCTTTATTTACGTAATTTAATGGCAACTTGTAGCCTTGTAGCGTGAAATGTATCACATTAAAAAGCAATATATTTATTGAAACACACTGTTGAATGTGCGAAAACTACGTCAGCGTCATCAAATCAAAGCATTTGCAAGTATACTTTGCGCGAAGTGCGAATAGGAGGGAGTGAGGTGTAGACTGTAGAGAAAATAGAAAGAAAGCGAGAAAAAGAGACGACGTGATAATGTGATTTATATTGAGATTTGGTGGCTAAAAGAAGAGTGAATGATTTACTTTAATCGAAAATCGATTAACAATTTATCAAAATCAAATCACACTGAAGGAATGGAATGAGAGAGGGTACGGCAGCATCAACATATAATCTATTTCTATAGCAGAAAGTTTATACATCTTGATTTATCGGCTAGATATGCTCTCTCTCTAGTCTATTCAGGGCATTTAACTTGTGGCTCCCATTCTATCTATCGTTTGCGAGAAAAACTTTGATTTAAAGCCGAGCTCCACACCACGTTGCCACTCAAACTTTCGTCTTTTTCTTTCTTGATTGAATTTATGTGCAGTTCGAATTTCCGTTGTTTAAATGAAAACGGCAATTCGTCCATTTCCACATTCTATTTTAACTGTTTTATTAACGGACGCAATGGGACCGCCACACTCGATGGTAGTGAACCTGCGTTGGGATGAATTATCGATTGGTTTGAATGGTCTTTGCAAAATACGTGAATTTGGTGGATTCACATTTATCGTATTCTAAATATCGTTCTATCAAAATAAATACTTTTCTGGCAGAAAAAAAGTCTGCCTCATTTATCTACTTCACATTGTTGTGCGTGTGATGCTTTATTTCGGTTTTTGTTTTCTCGTTATATAGCCATTCAGGCATAATCTCAGTATGAATGTCAAGCATTTGGTTAGTTCGTATATCTGGTTCATTTGCATTTGATTGCTTGGACGCTTATATTTGCGCACACAGAGAAATATTTGAGCTTGACTGCAAAGTGAAAAATTACATTTTAAAACAAGATAACAAAATATATTGTACCTTTTAACTGTTCGCATTTTAATACGTTTCTCTTTTTTATGTCTTTTTTTTTTAATTTTTCAAACAGACAAATTTACATCAATAAAATTGAGCATGAAAATTGAAAGACATCACCACGAAAGGACGACCGGACCAGAACATAAAATAAACGACTTCAGTCGTATTGCAATTGAAAATAATCAACGCGGTATATAACACAAACACACATACACAAAATAATTGTGGCAAATGCTTCGCTTTCACTAAACGACCGAACCTATCCATACATTTGGCCGAAATATAAAAGCTTAAAACGAATAGACGACATTTGATGAATGATATTATGTACGAAATGGAATTACCAACTATAAATTGCACAACAACACACTCCATCAAAGTGAGATGCTCAACATATTTCGCACTCCGTTGGCAATAAAACCAGCACAAATAAACAAAATGAAATATTTTGCCCTGGAAACTTATCCATCGTTTTGAATTTGTGCCGTGCTGTTTGGCTGAAGCAAGGTTATCAGACGAAAGAGAAACAAACAAACAAACAAAAAATTGTGTGCGTGTGTGAGTGCATAAAAAAGTAATAACTAAAAACAACTTGATGCGGAATGTATTCTCATCATCATCGAGAAAGAAAATGAGGACGAATTGTTATGAGATGTGAAGCGAAAAAAAAAACAACAAGAGAAATCAAAATTTTCAAACAAACTTCTAGGAAAAACAGAACCATTTAAAGAAAATTCGAACAACAATAACAAGTGACAAAGAAATTCTGAAGTTTACAACCAAAGTGAAATAAATGTTAAACCAATAGAAAGAATTGCGTGCGTGACAAATGACAAAAATGAGCATACATTAAAAAATTTCGCAAGAAATATAATAAATAAAAGAAAAGAAAGTTTTCTGATGGTTTCCCATCATTCGTCATTTGATTTGTGTCAGCAGCTACAGCAAAAAAGAAGAATAAGATACGAAAGAAATACCAAGAATATTAATAAAGACAAGTGAAACGCAACAATTCGCAAGAGAAGCTCCCGAAATAGGGACAAACAAAAATAACAACAAAAATTCCAAGTGAAACAAAGTTTGATATCAAAGTTATATGAATTGATAAGAGAAAACAAACCATTCATGCTCGACAAGAAGTAATCAAGAGTGGCCGAAGCGAACGCGGGAAGAAAATAAAACATATAGACAGACAATGTCATTTGCCTGCCATCTAAAAGATATATAAAAGAAGATCTAGAAGTAACACAACGTTTTATCGTTGATGTAGAATGTGAGAAGAGCACGCTTTGTATTCATTTTTATAAAGAAGAAAAAAAACACAACAACCCTGCAATTGATGAGCGTTTTTAGGACAACTAACAAACACTCACACACACATAAACACTCCGATCATGTTGGCTGCCATATTATTTGTTTCGGTGACGTTGATGATTCAAACCTAGAGCATTTTATAAGCAATATGTATGGAAACATTCAACATTTATGGTAATTTACGCTGGCTCGTATCATCTATCAAATACAATGGATGGAGAAAATCGCATAATTTTAAACGTTGGCGGTGTCAGGTATGTATTGTAGGATAATCTGTTACCCGGTCTAAGTTTCCCTTGTGTCAAATATATTCAAAATTCTCAATGATGCCGATATCTATGCGTGAACAAAAGCATGTGCTGTGCGTGCGTTCGTTTATGTATGTGTCACCAAACTGTGCAAATTTATGGAAACAATCACATTTAACGAGAAATTGTTTTTAATTTTTCAACGAGAACTTTAAATATTTTGACAATGTTTTGGAAAATGCTTTTAACGAAGGAATATTTGCAAAACATTATTCAGAGCACTGTGTATCCCGTGGCAACGAATGAGCTCACGAGCTTTTATAGTTTAAATTGAATGTTTTGTCGAACAAGAATGATTTGAATATGAAAATGTCAGTGAATTTGGATTAACCGCTCAAAAAAAGCAAGAATCAAATGGCACAAACATTTTCAAAAGCTGACGGATATCCAGGCCAAACCGCTGAATATCCAAGCAAACTACAATCACATCATACAGCAATGCACAACACTGAAAAAACAAACAAACATTGAGCCCGAGAGGGTAACAAATGGGTAAAAGAACAGAGAACATCATCCAAATATTTATTTAAATTAAAATATGTTTGAATGGTTATTAAATTTGTTGGAAGTAGAGAAAGAGAAATGGGGATTGAGGCAAACTATGTATTTTTCTGCTATTACATTCTCGATTTCTCTGCTTTTCGCTCGCATTTGCTATATACATTAAACAGTATTCAACGTAATGCGGACACAAACATTTATGAAATCTGTCAATATGCATATATATATATATACGTTTTTCCCCAGAAATCTCATTCCATTCGCACTGTTTGATTCTCGCCTTCTTGTTAAACTATATGAGTGTTGAAAAGTGGTAAATTTTCGATTCACAACTGGTGCTTTGGCTGACGCTACTGGTGCTGCTGCTCCTTGTTCTACGTATTTATTTGCCGAGTGAACATTCATTCAATGTTTGTTCAAAAGCGTTAAATGCACACCGTGGAAAATAATTTTATGCAATAGAAATTGTGGGATAAAGTTAATAAAATGCCAAGTTTTCGCATGAGAGAACCACCGACAGAGAGTGTTTGTTTAGGTATTCGTGAAAAAAAAAGTTGCCACAAAATGTCACCGGATACAGTGGAAGTGTCGGTACGATGATTCAATAAAATGTATGAACTTATCAAAGAGTTAACGTAAAATACAAAAGCAATTTATTTTTGTTTCCCTTCTCCGCAATGTTTGTTTGACCGAAACTTTAAACATATACATATTCATTTCCCGTAAATATTTTTAACCAACGAGCCAATTTCGCAAAACCAGCCTTATCAAAATGCAATTATCTGCTCCGGCATTATATTAATATTCTGCAGGCGCAAAAAATTGCAATCATTTAATAAATACGACAAAATGGCATATATTTAAAGTAGTGAGAGATGAAACGAGTGATAGAAATTGAGTGCGCGCTCTGCATTCCATAAAAACAACCCGAAATAAATTGAGTTTACATAACGCAAAAATTGTTCTCGATTTGCTTGTTCGTTTTCCGCTTTTTCCATTTCATTTCTCTGTTTATTTTTTTATTTGATTTTGTATTCGGTCGCACTATTTAGCTGCTTGGTGTTTGATTTTCTTTCCTTCTCTTTTGATAGCATTAAATATTCTATGTAAATGTCATGTTGTGATGGTTTTGTGTGTTTATGCAGGTTATGAATTTTATCGTAAGGACGTGACGCACTAGAAAAGCGTTTCAACATACATTCTGATAATTTAACTAATTTGTCGGTTATTACCACCGGTCACATACCACGCACCACCAACAAAAAACGTACACAGTTGAGAAAAAAACGACGTTGTGACGTCAAAACAAATGACTTCAAATACGTAAAAAATGCACATCGCAATAATAAACGGTCGGAAAAAGGCATAGAAAGAATATTATTTTTTTACTTTGTTAGTTCCATCTTCGTGTGTATATGTAGAGCAAAAATCTTCACGATAAACCGAACGATACTAAAACACGGTAAATTGAAAATACGACAAAAATGAATTGGAACAAATTACTTACACAAGCTAAAATAAGTGAGTAAATAAACGGAAACTCAGGATCGTTCGAGAGTCGAGTTGAATGATAAATAGCAACGGCAGGAGCAACAAGATAGACGGCAGAAAAGCAAAAATTGCGTTGCATTAACAAGAAAGAAAGAAAAAGAGTTTGCAAAAGCAAACAGGCATACAAAACACAAGCACAAATAAATAATCTTGATATAATGAGGAATACGAATAGTTATAGTCACAGTGTATTCTGTATTGCTACCTCGAATGCCACTATTACTGCTTCTGCTATTTACGTGGTTGTTGCTGTTATTTTTCGATTTATTTGCAAATGGGCATTATGTCTACGGAGTACTGTGTGACCATGTTGTTGTCGACCCGCTTTCCATAAGATTTATGGTGGAACAGTTCATTATGAGAATAGCACACACATATAACTAACGATAAAATTCAGATTTACTTCAACCCGTCTCGTTCGCATTCTCTTTGCGGCTTTCTTTTCCAAAGTCTGCCGCTACATTTTTTTCCCTCTTTTCATTTCTCTTGTGAATAGAAAAAAACTTTTATTTTTCTTTCATGGCCTGTTTTCGATACACACACACAAAATGGGCAGAGAAAAAATTGTGCTCACATTCCAAAATGAATTTTGCATATTGAGTGTTCAGCAGTTTTGGTCGAGCTTTTTCCTTATGTGCACGATTGATGGTAACTAGTTCGTGCAACAATTTTTGTTTTGTTTGTTTGTTTGCTTGAGCGTGGCAGCTCGTTAGCCAGTCGATGATTCTGATGTATCCATGCTTGAAACGTGAGGAATCGGCTCTTTGAAAATATGTGAAATATACTTGTTGTTCATCAGCATTTTCTATCCTGTTTAAATTCTTTTAACCCTTTCGTTGTTCCCACTGACTCAGCAATATCTCAAGCTTGAAGCCGCCAGTATGCATGTGCAGGTCCGAAAGAAAAAAAATACGGAAAATAAATTGAAAAGAAAGGAATCTGTGCGTTTTTTTCTTTCCAGAGAGAGAACGAAAAAAATAAATGTAAATAGAGTCAACAACACAAGCGAACAATGGGAGAGCCAAGAAGAAAATGTCAAGAAAAAGCGGAAATTTTTGCGCTGATTCCTTTTTACTTGAATTTCTGCTAGAGCGCATTTCCGTCACAATATGGTTTTTTCTTTCGTTGTTGAGCTCAGATGCCAACCCAAAAGCCATATGAATTCCTAATATGTTGGCATCTGTCTGTTACCTCATTTGCCATTCACATCCAACGTTGCTTTTTGACTCTCGGGTTATATCTACTCGCTGTCAAATCGGTTTCTTTTTTTTTTATTTGGATGAATGCTGCCGAACAGCCCGAGCTAACTTCTACTTATTTCATTGAAAAGCGCGCCGTTTCTACTTAGCCAATTGAATGGGTTTATATTGTTATCCTTTGAATATGGCACATTTTTGTGAATAAAAATAGAAAATGCAAACACAAAGAGCATATATTTCGGTTATGCAGACAATCAATGGGAGCTTTCGGCATTTTTTCTCTTCATTGGAAAAATAATATTTTCTCTAACAACGAATCTCCTTTGCATCCACATGGCCTGCCGCCGATGCCAATGCTGTTGACATTTTATTCTTTTATTCGTGCCATTTCTCTCTTTCTCCCTGTCATTCTCTTCGATGTATACTTTAGCAATATCATTTGTAAACGGAATCGCAACGCTATATTCCGGAGCTCTGAAAAATTCGAACTTTTACCATCAAACCATGTGACTTGATTAGTGTTTGTTCGATCACATTGAATTTCAGTTTTCGTGCCAATTCAATAAAATTATGCCATTCATTGAAATTTGCGATAAATGGATTGTCATTCATGCGTTTATTCATTTTTGTGAGCTCACAACCGAATGAATTCGATTTTTGTCTGCTGGTGGATATATTCGTGTCAGCGTCAGTAGTAACTTTGTAATTTTGCAAATGTAAATTTGCATAACATAGATCTTCGTTATTATTTTTAATTGACGTTGAAATGGAAGGAAGGAAGCAAGCAGGCAGCCACAACACATCCACACACACACACAGTGAAAGAAGATTGGTGTGGTGACGGCAACGGCAGCATCACCGGCAATGATGATGCCATCATGGTAATGGCAGAGGTTAACAATTTGATTTGGAATTTAATGAAGGTGAATACAACAGAAGAGTGAATTTAAGCACGCACCCCATTGCCATAAAAATGCAGAAAATTCTCTTGCTCTCTTATGAGAATGAAAACGCGCGCCACGTGCACATGCATCCGTAAAAAGCATATTTCAACATGAAATGTTAATAAGCGCAAACGAGCAAAGTGATGAGGTTCCGGTTACTGAGAGAGTTAAATGAAAATTGAAGAAGCACACACACACATATACGTGCTCACCTATCCACTGAATACAAACGATAAGAAATTTTCGAAAAAAACATCATTGGATGTATTTTGCTGGTTTGTTCGGTTTCAATGAACTCTTGAAGTTTTATTTTCAAAGTTCTTTTTTTTGCATTTTTATTCAAATGCAATGGTATAATGACTAACCATCGTTGATGTAATAAAATTCGTTAGGCTGTATAAAAGACTGTTATACAAAATGTTAATTGGGAGCTGGTTTAAATTTTTATATCTAAAAAACGGCCGAATCGAATAGACCATAGCAAACGATAACAAATGAATATACAAACAACAAAAAAAGTTCCAAGTACCCGTTTGAAACGTCTGTAGTGAATGAATGGTGCTTTTTTTCATCATCTTCTTCCAAATGCTTTGAAAAATGAAACCCAAAAATAATACAGTATGATGAGAGGATTCACTTGACTAAGAAGTAAAGCTCATTCAATATGGTGATCGTGTATGAAAGCCCCAAAAATGCTTAAGCCTACTTTATGCTACGTGAATGTCTCGAGTACGGTATTACTTGGAAAGAGATGGACAACGATAACTCCTCTCTTCGGTAGAATGAGTGAATGAAAGAGGCAATTTGCTGTACATACGTTGCATAAAAACAAACATGTATGTTCTCACCGACGTATTACGACGACTTCCGTTCAAAGCAAAATATAAAGAATAAAATCTCTTCTGTTTTTTTTTGTATTCATGTGCCTGTTTTTTTTTCTTCCAACTTTTGCCATCGTTGTGAATGTTTTTATTTGGTGGCTTGTGAGTTGCGGCTGATGTGTTATATGGCTCACGAATATAAACGTAATTGAATTTCACCTCAATTTTCAGATCACTCTATGTACACAATATATATAAAAGAAACGGTGGTTTTGTGCACAGTGTATTAACATGAATGTAGTATTCGTCGTTTGCGTCCTTAAGCGTTTCATCGGAATTATGCTTGGTGAAAATAAAAATAAGGAAAAATGAAGAAAAACATCACAGTACAGACCAATATAAATTTGATTTGGCTAGATGGTATAAGATGGTTTGCAATGCGGTTTTTACTTCAGCTTTTACTCGTATTTTTCTCTCTTTCTTTCGTACAAAAGAAAAACCATCATATTCGATTCACCGAAGCGCTTCAATATGTATGATAAAATCGTTTATATTCGTCGTCTATATTTGTTCCCTTGGTTATATGCTTTTTATGCTCATATTTATTACCAATTTTTTCAGTTTTATTATTATTATTCTTTTTCTTGTTGTGCACTGTGGTTGTTGAATGTTGACACTTGTCGATTTTATTATATTATCTGCTGAAATGTTTAGCTTAAATTGTTGGTAGCGTATTCACATATGCGTTTGCATCTGAATGAGTTTGAGCGCGTTTATCAAATGGTTGACTGTGAAATCGAGTTTCTCTTATGTGGCATAAAAGCCATAAAAGAACTATAAATGAACAGTATTTATACAGTTCTTTGGCATTGAAACCATATTTCTTACCGTTGTGCCATCACTAATTTGTTTGATGTTTCATTATTTTCTGATCTGGATGGTAATATACCAATTTCTAATTCAGTAATAAATGACAGCCACATAAGAAAAGTACAACACATTAAATAAGGATATGTATCCACTTTATTTTGTACGTTCTCATTCCCATTTTGTAGTATTAAACAAAACATTACTATTCGCTCGAAATATTCGGAGCGATTTTCTTCAAGGACAACTTTTTATTCTATTTTAAATATTCAATTTAAAGCACTTTACTTCTAATACGGTAACATAATATGTCGTTTTCTTCTCATTCTCCATATTCAACAGGTATGAAACCTACAAGGCCACATTGAAGAAAATCCCAGCAACACGCTTATCACGCCTTACCGAAGCATTAGCTAATTACGATCCAATATTGAATGAATATTTTTTCGATCGGCATCCCATTGTTTTCGCACAAATACTAAACTATTATCGAACGGGAAAATTACATTATCCGACCGACGTCTGTGGACCACTTTTTGAAGAGGAATTAGAATTTTGGGGACTCGATAGTAATCAAGTTGAACCATGTTGTTGGTCAACGTACAGTACACATAGAGATACGCAAGTAAGTATATTCCCTTCTCCCACCTTCTCTCTAACAATAGATTCTATAAAATTATATCGATTTAACTGCTGCAGTAATACTAATAAATTTTCATTGAAACCCTATAAAAATATATACATATTGTAGACACACGATGCGACAAACTAAAACATAAAATAAAACCAATGACCACCACTTCTATCGATACCACAACTCTTGATTGTATGTGTGTGTTTGTGTGTGTCAATTTCAATCGAGGTCAACAAAATGATCCAATTAAATGAAATTGTCCATCGCAATTTGTGGCACATGTGTAACCGAAGAGAAAGAGAGGATCGAATCAAAATTAACGCTCATTCGCGTGAAGCTAGATAAATACATAGAGAATTAAATGGGGATTTATGAGTTCGTTGTGACAATTAAGTGGCGATCAGAGGGGCGATGTTCTCAGTTTAATTGCTCAAGTGGCCACCTAGTCTTACATTGAATAGATACTGTTTCAATCAAAAGCACCATTCATTTAAACAGCATGACCAACAAAAACCAACCATATATTGAAATAATACGGAGAAAATTGGAAAGCTAAACGAACAACGTTTTCAATTCAAAACCAATCGCTGTTTTTCAAACATGATTTTGTTCGCTTACGCATATACGCGCAGTACACATTGTGTTATGTACACAACCAAAAAATGAAAACCGCTTTCGTCGGTTTGTGTTGGAGTGAACAGTGGCTAACAGACACTCAAGCTTGAAAACGTGATGCATCTGCGATAAGGGCCACTTTTAAAAGGATATGCTTGGCTACTCTGAGTTCGACTCTTCAATCCACTTGGAAACACTTTGAAAGTCGGTCTGTCTATTTTCTGCCACAGCATACCATCCGAATAATTCCATTGACCTGACTAAACAGTTTAGTTGTTTGTAAAAGATAAATTAAATCGATAGAAAAGCTAGAAAGAAAAGGTTTTCGACATCCGTTTTACGATTTTTCCCATGTTTCATCACACTTGTACAAGAGCTCTTTGGGTGGATTTTTCGTGTTTTATTACAAACGAAGCTTTAACTTGCCCACCGTCTCAAACGTATTTTTTTTATTGTTGTAGTACTAAAACGTATTTTCAACATGTAACAATGTCGAAGTCGTTTCTTTTGTTTTACGAAAAAAAAATAAACATTCAGTCCTTTTCGGTAAACTTTATCGCTTCGGGTTTACCTTTATCAAATTTCAATCGATAATTAATATTTTAAGCGTTTTATTTTGCACTCAATACCCTACAAAACATTTTCAAGTGCTTAAAGTGATTGCCGTTTCAATGGACCTTTTTCTGTTTACTCTTTGTCTATGTTTTCCCAACGGAACAATACAGTTTGAACTTTGAATAGAAATTGAAAAAGTACGATGCGATGCGTATTTGAAATATTCATGAGTTTTGTAACCACTTTTAGCATGTTGATCGAATTAAAACCACTGACTTTCTTTGATGGACGAAAATTAAACTGAATCTTTCATTTAATACTTTTCACATCGGCTGCTTTTCAGTTTTTTTTTTATCGTTAGAGACTTAGAGATGAGAGAATTTGGCCAATACTGCACGATTATTCAATGTAATATATGTGTTTTCTTCTTTCTCTTTTTCGGATGGCTATAGGAAACATTAGCAATTTTAGATAAATTAGATTTGGATAACGAAGATGAACCTTCAGATGAATCAGTGGCCCGCCTATTTGGCTATGAAGAGAATCTGCTTAATGGTGATTTGTCATATTGGCAACGCACCAAACCAAAAATCTGGGCTTTATTCGACGAACCATCTAGCTCAACTGGCGCGAAGGTAAGTAACAAGATCGAACGAGTTTTCAAAAAGTGTGGCGATAACATAAATAATCTGAAATTGAAAATGTGAAAGAGTATGTCTATTTCGGAAAAAAGCACGAGATGCGTATATGCAATGAATTGATTGAAATTATGTGGAACCCTTTTCATGAGTGATTAAACAAATCTCTTTTTATAAGGCTGAGCAAACAATCAAGATTGGATGTTTTAAGGTCGAAATTGGAAAATTACACATTTACATTTTCTAGCACTTTTGCATGGCATACGGTTTATATATGCAGTTGGTTTTTCTGTGTCTTCTTTTTTAGTATGCATTTCCATTTTTTCAAGCATTTTTCGTTATCATTCTTTCTGTCATTTTTTGTGATATAATCTTTCAATTCAGACTAGATTTTTCCATAATTTATTAAACATTCTCGCAAGTATTCGAAGCATCCACAAATTATGTTCAAGAAGCATTTCACCTTTCGGTGCTCGCTTTGATCTGATAAACAACTGAAAAAAGAAACGAAAAAAAATGAAGAGCGCTTCTTCAAATGGATTTTTTTTCTCTTGCTCGTCAACGTTGATAGGAATATCCATGACATCTGATTTTATTCGAATTTCCTTTTGTAAATATTTAAAAGTCTTTGATTATTTACGTACGGATGTGAAAGTGAAAGACACCGTCGGTATCAGCATTGTAACCATTATTTTTTTTTTTTCGTTTCAGTTTGTTTGTTTAATTTTTCACAATGGAACATGGTTATTTACAGCAAATGTAAAAGAAAGAAGTGATGAAATGTGGACGAATATCAAAGAATATTCTTTGTTTTCCAATCAGTTTGATTCAGTTATGATGTTGAAACTTTTCAAAACAGCTTTTGCCTTTTTTTATTACATTGATTGAGTTTGATTACAAAAGTCTTTGTACATTTTACATTTTTCTATCCATATCGTATCATATTTATATAGACTAAAGTCTATGTTATTTGTGAAATTCAATGGAGAAGTTTTTGAAATCGTTTGAAATCTGAAATCCTTCAACTTCGATGCGTAACGAGTCGAGAGAGATAAATAAACCGTCAAGCATTGCAAGTGAAATTTCAAAGTACAATCGACCGTCGCATTCAGTCATCTATTTATTTATTTTAAATGTGCCAAAAGCCTTCTATTTCTCTTAAGATCATTGAAATTTCCACCCGATGAAGAGTATGGAATTGATTTAATGTTTTTTTTATGTTTGCTTTCTGTTTCTTTTCATATCGATGGAATGTAAATCGGATATTGTGGGTGCACGTACATCAAACAGATAATTGCCTGTGCCTCTGTATTATTTATAATGGTATCTGTGATATCTTTTTGCTTAAAAACACACCCCGGTTTTCGCGTAGAAATGTCACCGTCGTTCAATAGTGAATTTATCAATAGCAGCCTGAATCATTACACTCGGAGTCCTTATTGTAAGTTCTTCACAACTATGCAATCAAAAATGAAGCAAATATTTGGAAATAACATAAAATCCGTTTTGTTTGACACAAACGGAATTTTATTGAATTTGTCTTTATCTACATAATTATATGTTTCTAAACTATTTTTTCATTCGTATTCGTGTGAGTATAGCATCAACAGCAATGCCAAAAACCACTACGTTCAAGTATGTGAGCAGTAAAAGCAGTGGAAGTAGTTTCATTCCAACATCAACCGAAAATTCAGCATCACCATTGCCAACGTCGTCGATATTATCGTCATCAACAGCACAAAATGAACAACAACGTAATGAACGAATGCACATCCAACATAACAGCGATCGATCCACATGGCTAGATGCCACCGATAGTCAACCGCACGAAGCATTTTTTTATGTCGAACTTCTTTGTAATTTATGGTTTATCGTTGAATTTACTACAAGATTTCTGGTAATTATTGTTTACACATATATACACACAAACACTTTGCACCCCCATTAATTATGTGGTTTGGCATTTGGTAAATGATGCAAACCAATTTCGTAAATATTATTTACCATTCAATTCGATTATATCACAAAATTTTCGTTGATTAGACGCTATTCTAATTTCATATACGTAGATACATGTATGCACAGTGCACATACAATAGTAATATATAGTCTTGACAATATTGACAAGTGCTAACTGCTTGATGCCACTATGCCAGATGCTATTTTCTAATTATTTTGAGGTTTATGTACATTGTGTACACAGTGTCCGGCTTGGATTGTGTTTGACAACATACACATTTATTTTGTTTTATTATTTTGTTGTATTTCTCATGCAGGTTTCACCAAATATGCTGGAGTTCATCCAATCACCAGTAAATTTAATCGATTTAGTATCAACGCTAAGTTTTTACTTCGAGATAAAGCAGCGTTTAGGCGAACAAACTGGCCTATTTGAAGCGTTGTCAATAGTGCGTATATTGCGTCTGTTTAAATTAACACGACATTCGCCCGGGCTGCGAATTCTTATTCACACATTTAAAGCGTCTGCAAAAGAGCTAACACTGTTAGTTTTTTTCCTCATGTTGGGTATTGTCGTATTTGCCAGTTTAGTTTATTATGCAGAACGATTGCAAGACAATCCAGATAATGAGTTTAAGAGCATACCTCTCGGACTATGGTGGGCTATAGTGACGATGACTACAGTCGGTTATGGTATGTGTTTCCATTTGTATAATTTATAGAATGTCAAAATTACGAAATATTCAAGAGTTTTTCGAAATGATAAATTAGATGAAATGCGATGCGCATGTTAATAAGCACATTCCATCTACTTAGTACATTGTTGAAATGGTCAATTTATTTGATGTTGAAGAAAATCAGTTGTTGTAAATGGGTAATTTTTCTTTTTCGCCAAAAACAGGTGATATGGCGCCGAAAACATATGTCGGTATGTATTAACATTATATTACATTTAAACAAACTGCCTAAAAAGCATAGTATCGTTGCCAACCTCATTGGCAGCAACATAAACAACTCGTTTTTGAAAAGGACGTGTGAACTGTCAGGATTGTGACACACTAAAACAAAGTATCATAAAACACACAAACAGCAAATTTGTCGTTGTTTTTATTTTCTTAACTCTACAGTTGTCACTGTAACTTATGCTCACTGTCTTGGTACATTGTAGTGTGTAATTCTGACAATCCAAAAAGTGTTGAAATATTTTACACGTCGTTTATTGTTACATTATTTATTAATATGGAAATTATTTATGAAATTTTCTCTCTTTGTGACTAGGAATGTTTGTTGGAGCTTTATGTGCATTGGCTGGTGTGTTGACGATTGCTTTACCAGTACCTGTGATAGTTAGCAATTTCTCCATGTTCTATTCTCACACACAGGTAAGCAAGAGGGAAAAAACATGGTTTTCCTAATTGAAATGGACGAAGATAAATTCAGACACATAATTTATGTTTCAGTATGAAATCAGTATAATGATTACAATATTATTTTATACGTATTTGTTTGTGTTTCATTCGTTTTGTGTAGGCACGTTCAAAACTACCAAAAAAACGCAGACGCGTTCTGCCGGTTGAACAACCAAGACGAAAACGTGAACCAGCCATTCCAAATCGTCGTACAAATGCGCTAAAACATCAAAATACACATCCTGGCGCTCAGTCGCATCCTTCCGTTCTAAAGGACAGTTTTGGTTCGACGAAAAGCGGTCATGTGAACGGTGTGAATGTAATTGGATTAACTCAAAGTTCAACTTCGCCATCTAATCAGCCCATGTCAACGCCAATGTCAAATAAAATGGCTAACATGACTGGTGGTGGATGTTCCATGTTCAATCAAGCAGGTTTGTCTCAAACATATTTCTTTCTTTTTGTCTTGCATATGCCCTTTTTTGATATTCATTTTTCAGTTGACGTGTCATTTTATATGATATGCATTTCAACACTTTCTCAACCATATATTATACATTAGAGACGAATGAATGCTTATTCTTATTTGATTGGGATTTATTTTCATTTTTCATTGGCGTAGGTGAAGGATTTTCAGCTCAATCATCGTCGGTGCTCAAACCACGACCAGCATGTAATTTAGAGTATGTTTCACCAAAATCTGTGCTACTACAACCGAAACTATTAAATTCCAATTTGGAAGGTAAGCATTTGAGAGTTGTTTACAATAAAACCACAAGAATTTTCCGTTCCCATTTTCCCTTATCGTTTATTAATCATGCTGTGTCGTATGTTTCGTTAAAGAACGCAAAGACTCCAAGGGTAGCATAACCAATTCAGAAGAAATACTTACGGCAGATACACAGGCCGCCGCCGTCGCTAACGCTGCCACCACAAGCACCACAACAAATGCTACAAGTGCTGCCGTAACAGCTGTTACAACTGCCGTGGCCGCACCAAAAGTGACCGTTCATGAAGAAAATGAAAAAACGGGCGAATCAATCGATGTAAGTGATAAAAGCAACTAGATTCATAAAAAGATTGTGAGGAGCAGTGATTTTTTTACTATGACTTTTATGGATCTTAATGTTTCATCTTACTATATGATAATAACCATGACACCGAAAATGTGACGTATATCGGTAAATGGTAAAACCACACAGAGATACACAACATAAACACTCACTCTGGATACATAAATATAGGACTTTAGATAAATAATACGAATAGCTGATAAAATCTCAATGATAGGTTAGACAATGTTCCATTATATTCTAAATAATATTTGTTTGAAAAGCCATGAACCAAAAAAGAAAGAATAGCTTCACTCTAACCATGGACCTGTCAGTTGATATGTTTCGCATTTGGCTTTTTAGTACATTGATTGAAACCGACGTGCCATACGTCAAAAGTGGAATGAAATTTCACCTTTGTTGCATGATACTGATGATATTTTTGCTCAATTCATATCTGATCCGGGCGTACTGAGTTTGAAAACCATGGTATCACGTTCAATTCGATTCAATGAAAATTTATCTGATTATAATTGAAAAAGTAAAGTTGAATTTCTTTTTTACTTTCGTATACCCACAGGAAAATTATTTTCGTTAAATAATTCTGATCACGCACACTTATCCACTTCAAATACTTTAAAAACAAAAATACAGAATAGAATTACTTTCTTTCCAAAAATTTGGCAAAGAATCTATCAGAACAAAAAAACGTTTGCATATCTCTTTCAAATACATGGATTTACATGCAATCTTTTTATTTGCTTTAAAAAATGAAACGTACCACCGTTTATTATTTCATATAAAATTCTCGACAAAGTCTTAACGTATCGTATCCACTTGAAAACAAAAAAATAACAATAAAAACAAATAAATGAAATGGTTAAATGGACCACGGATAATCGGTTTTTCGAAAATGATTTTTATTTCATTGGTTGAGTTCAGCATTGACTTAGAAGTGGACGGTTGAATGTGGAAAGTTGAACAACTGCAACATAGAGTGAGCGGATTATGATTCAAATAGATTTTTTTCAGATATGCGCATCATATATATATATTTCACTCGTTGCATTGTGTATACTTATGTACATATATTTTTGGATGTTCGTTAATAAGCAATTTGTCGAAACAAAGAATAAAAAATGAAGCTTATCCTACTACTATATTTTTGTTCAATTTCCCCGCAAATAATATATATTTTGGTCTGAAATATAATAAATTTCATTTAAAATTCACATTGATTTAAGATCGCATTTACTAAGCTGTTGAACATTTCCAACGAACTGTACATAAGATGGAATGAAAAGCAAAAAATCGAAGCAAAAAATGATATTATGAATAGTATAATAAGTTAGGTGTGAACATTTAAATGAAAAATAGATATTTCTTAAGATTCAATTTTTTTCTCTCTCTTGAGGACTTGAGGTTGATGAATTCAACCGCGAAAAAAAATCAAGAAGATTGTATCAGAGTCTCTTAAATGCACCTACTTGACATTTACAACATATTTCACTTTAGCGCTAATCTTGTGATTTAAAACTTTTTCATTATAGCTCGTTTTTATTATATATAGTAAATAAAAACAAATAAGTTCTTTATAGAGTTAGACTATGTATTCGATTGCGAAACAATTCCTAGCAGGATGAGGTAGCGTGAAATTGAGAAAAAAGCACAAAAAACATCGATTGGAACAAACAAAAGAGGGATTATGTATCATTTGAAGTATTTTTTTTATGTTCAATATATTCGAAAGTCTATTGATTCGTTGATTCCATGGTTGATTCTGATAAAATCTGCTTTGGAAATGAAAGCGATACCAATTTAAAAATAGTTACGAAAAAGTTAGTTGGAAAAATTGTATCATTTAAACTTTTAATGTCTTTATTAAACGAAAAAGAAAAGTTTTATTCTTATAGATAATATGTGAAATGAAGCTTTTATTGTGGATGGAGAGGAAAAGGATCAAAAACAAAATAAAATACACCAAATGACAAAGTGTCAAATGTTTTCTCGCTCAAAGCTCACGCGATTTTCTTTTTTTTTTTTGTTGTTAAGGTTTAGTCTGCATCAAAGTAGGTGTTAAACGCCGCACTTTTTACGTCGACCATTCGAATTCAGTTAGTTTCCAATTTGATATTTTTGACAATGATAATGTTATAAGTACTAATAATCTTAAATCAATATTCTAAAGAAATGGCAGCAATAATGTTGCAAATTCTCCTTTTTATAAATATTTAGACAACAACAAAAAAACCAACAATAAAAAATTTGGAATACACATACACCCAAACACATCCAAAACAAAGAAAAACGCAGCTCATAAGTTATAACTAAATATTCACCAATTTCATCAGAAAATATTAATTAAAAGGCATGCTCTCAATATTTGCATTAGCATAAAACGATTACAATAAATTTTAGAACCAACTAATTTTAGGAGATTCGATTTATATTTACACTTTACTATTTATCAAGATATTGAATGGAATGATGAAAGAGATGAAAGAGAGTGAGAGAGTGTATGCAAGAGAGAAATAAACAATAACATCATCAATATCCGTAGTTATTCATTAAAATTAAATTGCAATTTTTATTCTTGATAGCTTTTAGTCTTTTCAAAACGACAACCACAACAACAACAACAAAATTTACTATGTATATTCATGTTATTTGGAATTATGGAATCCCAAAGATAGAAGAAATTGGGGCGCGCTCTCTATAAATATATAATATATGATTATAGTTGAAATGTTAAATGAAATGAATCGAGTTAAATTGAATTCAAAATCAACATTACATACACATACACATACACACACTCTCTCTCTATCTCGCTCACCCGCTCTTTCAATATAAAAATATGGTATACTCTGTTCATCAAAACAAAAACACTTAACATACTTTTGCTAAATTTCACTCTATAAAAAATAAACACGTTTAGCCATTTGAAGCGATTACTTCGGTGTGTTGAAGTTGTGAGAGAAATTATGATAACAAACTCGTTTACATATACTATGCTCAAAAAAAGGAAGAAACATTCAGAGCCCAAGCACTGACGTGAACTGTGTTACATTGAACATCATTTGATATTCTTTCGTTTTCATGATAAATACTACCAATCGAACTATGTTCAAAACAATAATATTGCAGCATGCAATAGATGTGCATTTTGTAAAATTCCTTTGAAATACCCGTAGTGTTCACACCAATATTCCCGATAATCTTGAACATCACGTTTGAATGCAGTTCACATCATTATTAATAAATCAGCAAGCGAACGAACTACAATTTCTACATTGAAAATCGTTTAAGCTTTTGTTTTCGTTTATATAAAAAGTTTTCTTTCTCTCAAGATTCATGTTTCATTGAATGATTAACCGTTTTTATTGTGAGCTCATCATCAGCACTATTTTACAATGTAATCCACTGTGTTGTACATTTTATGTGCGAGCACTTCTATCATGTTGTTCAACAGAACGAAAACAATCCTTTTCCATACAGATATTATGTATTTATGGTTTCTCATGCGCGTCTTTGAACTATGCTTTCAAGAGACGAAGAAAAATGATGCGAAATAAATTCAAACTTTTATGCGTCAGAGTCCTATGATGGCAGCGCTCTTAAGAGACAGTATATCTGTTAAAAAGAATGGATTACTAAGATTTATCGCATAAATAATAACACATTTGAATTAATTGAATACAATAGCTAAAAGCATTTTTGTACATTATTCTATATATAAAATGCATGACAAAGAAATGCACGATATTCGTTTCATACACGTTTTCTCCGTTTTACACATACACCAACCACAGCAAGCTCCAGAGTGGAATTCTTTTTTAAATTTTGTTAGATTTTGGGATTGTTGTTCTTACCAGAGAGAATATCCAATTAGACCACACTATATTATATTTAACATTCAACCCTCCCGCAGTCAGTCACCCAAAAATATTTTACGTAATGCTTTACATAGTGATTTTGAAGAGTTTGTTGTTTTACTATAGTAATAAACATAATATAACATAACAGATGAAAAAAACATGAGATGAAAAGTACATTGCGTGGACCTAATAGATTTTTACATAAGATAAACATACCCCTAGATAAAACTGTGTATAAACGTGAAAATTCATAAATTTATATTATAAAAACAATGATTACAAACGAAGGGCGTAGAGATAGAGATGCTGAAAGAGAGAGAGAGAGAGAGAAATAGTTATGAAATTGTAGCATGAAACGCGTGTGGGGATAATAGATATCCATGTGAGACTATTGTGAATTTACTTATACATTATTAATATTACTATTATGAAAGAGAATATCATTGAATATTGTATTGAACTTTAAACTATGCATAATAATTTTAACAATAAACCGAAAAAAATAAAATAAAATCGAAATATGTCTTTTCATTCGATGTTCTTTTAATGCTTTGTAAATTTGCTAAGCTTAATGAAACCAAAGCAATTTTAGTCAACGATTCAGCAAACAGAGTGTTTTTTTGTTCACTTCGAAAATTTGACATTGTTGTAACACGTGCGCCAATCATCATTGTTCATTCCAAGCATACAGCTTAGTACTTTTCAACTTAGTAATATAATTCCAAAGGATCCGTGTGTCAATTTCAAATGTTTATTTTGCATCAAAGGTTTTTAACGAGATGGTACACGATTGGAAATGGTATTCGTTGCTAAAAATCAAAGGTAAGATAACGTTGCATGGCGAAAATGTTTGCAAAAGCTTAAACGAAAATTAGCGTGGAAACTTTTTTTCAAATTCAATTTGATTGTGTGCGTTCGAGCTGAACAATAGATGGCAAATGTTGTACACCCAACTTTCAACACACTATGGAAGAATTTTCATTGTTATTGGCACGTAAAGGTGTATATATATTGAATCTCATGTATTCAATTGTTTTACGTCAGGACATTTGATGCTTCAAGCATCCACTCTTATGCTTCGCATTTCATATAATTGAATCATTTGTTCTCCTTCATTTCTCTATTTCTTTTCGTTACATTTTGTTCGTTTCTAAGCAATTCTGCATTCCCATTCATTTTAACTTTCTATTCATCTTACATACCAAAAATTTCTTGAAAATACCTTCTCATTTCTATTTGTTCATTTGAAATTTATCACAACGATATGCTACTTTGTAGATCGGTTCCCTTTTTTTTTTATTTCAAAATGGATAAACACAGAAACCGTCAAACGATTATACATCAAGAAATAAAATATTATAATGATTAAAAATGGTAAATTTGGTACTTAGTCTCGTGTCAAGATTCATAACATAACATCTAGAGGTGTAAATTATGTACGATGAATAAGTTCGAATTCATATCATCTGTGCAAAACAACGCATCATACCGAATATTTCAAAAGAAACAAAAACTTTTTATCCGAAATGCATTGAACGTATTCATCGTATTTATCTATGTCTGTGTCATGTGAACACCAGCCGTATGGAACGTAAACGTGTGTGACTTGGATAAAAATTGCGCTAAACAGAGAGCCAAAGAGAGCGCGAGAGAGTTCAAAAACAACAACAACACTATAAACATGGTAAGAACGTATTGTTTTTACACGATGACTTACACACATACATGCATGTAGACGTTCGGAAAGAAAGAGCAAACTAACGCAACGAAGCAAAATAGAAAGGGAAACCGTACCGTTGAAAGAGAACGACATATGATCCGCATGGGTTAGCGTTCAATACGAACACATGCAACGTAAACGAACGTTAGATAGATTGAGAACGATACCATCACATAATGCATATGACACACGAATAGAACCATACCGCATACGATTCCGATTGAGCATGTAAAAATATTTTAATATCTTATCCATCCAAATAGTTGTCGGCCTTATCGTATAAATAGTAGACACTCTTTTTTCATATTCTTCTCATTTTCATTATGTTTTCCAATTAAAGTAAACAACAACAAAACTCAAATTTAATGCTCACAACACATAATTCACAATCTCAACTCAGTTTATTTGGATCGAAAAAAAAGTATATATAAAATAAATCTATTTGGTGTATGTGCTAAATGTAATTTATATCGTGCCCGTGTTTATCCTCTATCACACAGACAAAAAACAAGCAAAGACGAGAAAAAAAAGGTTAGGCAAACGAAATCTGTTGTTCTTCAGCCTTATAGTGAAAAAGCCATTAAATCAATGTGGCAAAACGGTTGCAAAAAGAAATAGTGCAACGTTTGTATCACAGCAAAAACGTTCGAGAAAAACGAAAATTTTATTTAAAAACCAAAAAATCAACTGATGACATTTTTGCAACAAAACTCATAGAATATTTTTCAATAGAGTCAACGAGAGTGAGTTACTCATATATTTGTAGTTGTAAATTAAAAGCACTAGTAAAATCATTTGCACAAACATTAACATTGAGCGTTTTGTATTTTCAAATTGAGTACTATGAAAATGAATGAGTGAATGGTGATGATTGATATGGCATATGTGGTTTTTTTGTTTTTTTTCTTCTGTACTTAAAAAAAGAATTTCGCTCATTTTGTTGTGATTGCCGCTGCTGTCGACTTCTGTTTTATCGTTTTCTAGCTTATGACTTATGTACAGCATTTCATCTCTTGCTCAACCAAGAGAAAATGGCACCGATAAAATTGCGCAAAATGTGTGGCAGCTGTTCAATCGTGTTTAAATCATTAAAAACTCAGACTGAAAATCTCATACCGATCGTATCATTTCGAATGAAGAAAGCGTTGCAGTTACCAACATACAAACAAAACATATACACTCAATTGTGACGCCTTTTGTATAAAACTTGTAACTATCGTCTTTAAAATTCAATTAATTGCGGTAGTTGAAAAGAATAAATCGATATTACTGCTTTGTCATTTAAAATAAGTATTTTTGTGTATGCTGTGGTTGTTGTTGTTGTTGCTACTGCTGCTGATTTCATATCAGCAGTTGTGTCGCATAGCATTCAGTAAACGATAAAACATTTCAGTTTTTTTTTCCGTGTGGTAAGTTCAATAAACCCTTTTTTGTCTCAGAAATATGATTCTTGGAAATGAAATTTTACTCCCGTTTGCACTCAGTCTTGCTCGTGTTCCGCTTGAATAAAAATGACTTTGTTTTCCTTTGTGAAAAAAAAAAAAAAAAATCAAACAGCAAACCCATGAAGAATGTGTGTTCCATAATCACTTGGCAATTTCACAATATTTAGCATATCACACAACGATTAAAATAAAACCTGCATGTTTCATCATAATCAAAAAAACATGCGACGTTAGAACACACACACTACTCAACTTAGTGAGTGAGCGAGCGAGACTGTGTGTGTGCGCGCGTTTTTGTATAGCAAAAAAAGAGGAAAATGAAATCGGTGGCAAGGACAATGCGAAACTATTGAATTTCTCGGGTTTTTTTTTTCAATCCGAAAAATACGCATGGCGCACCGAAAATTTCAATACTTCTTGCATTTATAGCGCGCTCATATGTATACTACTATGTTATATATATGAATGTTGTACGCTACTTTGGTATTGATGCGATGTAGAAAAGGGGAAGCGAACACAACACTCACCTAGGCCAATGCATAAAAGCATATCATGTTTTATTCCTGTGTATATAAAAGACGTCTAAGGATAATAAAACATAGACAAATCGTAATTCGGATATGCTGTGCAGTTTAATGTTGGTTTTGGATTTTGTCATGGATGTCATGATACGCATACACTGAAACAATTTACTCGATTTGCAAAATATACATACATAGAATTGTAGTTTGATTAAATGGAACAGAGTGAAATCTAATGCAAATGCCCAATGGCAATTGAATATACGAATCATATTGTGTCATTGTTGATAAGTTTAATGGATGTGCGTTTTACATACACAGTTTTGAACCAGAAGCAAGAGTAGAGAGTACACAACAATTGATTCGCATAATTCCTTGGTTCGTTGAATCGTCTTATTTGCTGTAGCAATATACGTGTGTATGCGTGCAAAGTACGTATATTCACGTGTATGTTAAATGATAAATCGATTGCAATTTTACGGAGTTCCCGCAATACGATTTCAAACAATAGCATGAAAATCCTACCTAAAACTCATAGACACATTTCAAGGCCTATCTTCATCAATTCGAATGTGATAGGCATTCGAAATTAAATTGAACGAAATACCAATTAATAAACCAGATTTTATGGAATTTTGCATTAAATGGAATATAATCGATTAGGCCGGATTTTTGATCGTAATCAATTCGATTTAAGCGTAATAGAATATATGAATTGATTTCCAATGAAAATATTCATCAAGCGTATGTTTTCCGCAATAATGACAACATTTTGTTTGAACACAATTGAAATGAACACAATATAATATCATCATTCAATCGAAACCAAAAGAATGCCATGCAGAGAATCGTTTTCTCAGTTATCTATTGTTCGTGATGTTCACCTCTTCAATCAAAATCATTTTTAATGTGTCTCATTTCCTTTTGAATATTTGCTGCAAAAAATATATATATGGGCGACGGTACAAACATACATATATCGTTTCACCACCATGAATATCTTCAATAATACACAAGCGAAATCAAGCATTCGCAATTCACATACACACACATACGTGTATTGAGCAAGTTTCGATTGAAAGCAAAATGAATGGGTTTTTTATGTTGCAGAACGCGCTACATGTGTTCAAATGTAATTGCAAGAACCACGAGGTATGACGCGATTCCGATATGAACTATTGTATATACACAATCGATTCCTTTGAGTGACACAATACCTCAGTACATTGAAACGAGAATCATACACATGCATAACAGTTGACTGAAAAGGAAAAAAAACACAAAGACGACTACGACGACGATGTAGAACCGACGTTTGATAAAAAAAACATCATTTTATGTTCTCACATGTCGATTCAAACGTAGCATGTATGCGAGAAGGAGAGCAAAACAAAGTGAGTCAAAAAACAATGAAGCGAGACAGAGTGTGTTGCCATTGCCGCAAAGCAGTTCTATTCAGTATTTTTAGAGTAATATGTATCATACGATAAAGGAAGTACATTAAGCAAGCATCGTGATTTCTGCATCGCCTATATAGACAGACAGTGCGCCAGCGATACATCTGTGTATCAATGGTCGATTTATTATATATACACACACGTATAATATACATAAAAATCGATTTCACCATGTATATGTAACACAAAATTCATATATCGAAATCGAAAATTGTTATCCATGAGGTATGAGTAATGCGACGATTTTAAAATAGCCGAATGGTGTTTGAATTTTGCTTTAAACAAAACTCGCACACACACAAATGTGCGCGTATCTACAATAAATCTGGCCTGCTATTCAATTGTACATGTGTATAGATGTATATACTTTGATGTTGAGATTTTGGCCTTAAAATTGAACAGACCATATTCCGTACAGAGCTTGTAAGATGATAAACAACTAGCGTTAAATGATTTGTGTGTGTGCAATATCGTTCTTAGTTTCTTTTTAGAAAAAAAAGAAATAGTATTCAAAAGGGTATATACGTTATAATTTTTGAGTCATACATAGACACGCATACATCGACACATGCCGATAGAGGCAACAGTACAATGGGCACAAAATGAAATCAACGATAAATAAAAGCGAAACACGATATATGCCAAACCAATACATGCTTGGCAAATACACACACAGACAAAAAGACCAACAAGCACTACACACATGTTACGTTTCAACAATGAACATCGAATACCAATACAAATAGATCTATGCACAAGCAATATGTAAATACATATAGACAACAACAAAAAAAGATACTACACACTATACATGTGAATTGAAGTGAACAAGAACGTATTGAGTGAACGAATGAATGAAAAAGAAAAAGAAAAAAAATAATAATAATACAACAGCACACTACAAAAACCTCTTTGTATAGACAAACGGCGATGACGATGCATGAGAGAGAGAGTGAGCGCTAAAAGGGGGACCATACACTGTCGTAATTATGATTTGGGTTTTTAGTGCTGATAATTTTGTTGAATGAAGAACAACGCGATTTATTATGAACGTCTTGGTTGTTGTCGTCGTTTCTATTTCACCAAGTAGACTGCGTCGCGCGATTACTCATCACTTGTAATAACAATAATAATAATAGTAAAAATCAAATCTTCACCATCATCCACACCATAAAATTCGTACCAACTCTATCATACACGCGTTAGATTCTTAGCGTTTCTGTTCGATTTGATTTATGTTGTTGTTTTTATTTATTGTGCATTTATTCTGGAATTGTTTTTTAAAACATCGATTTGTTTTGTGTATTAATCAAATGATAAAAAAAAGAACAAGATATGTTAAAAAAATAGTTGCTGTTTTTTTCCCCGCAAATGAATCACAATAATTTTGGATTAAATATTTATAACGAGAACAATTAAAGACAAATACCAAGCAAAATTTTAAGTGATCAACGATCGTTGTCAAATGAACGATATATATATTTCAGAGATATATAGAAAAAATAAAACTAATGGAAAAGAAAACTTTGAATGAAACAGAGCAGACAGAAAAAAAAATATAATTGAAAAATTTGTTGTGTGATTTTTTATCGTTTGTTCGTGTTTTATGTGCATCAATTTATTTTCGTATCAACGCATTGTTTTTTTGTGCATTACCATTTGTTGCATCAATCTAAGTATGTGTTTTTATCATTTCAATTATCATATGCAGTGTATCGCGGGTATCGCATTGTGCGAACGCTCGCGCTATCATCATCGTTCATAATCCATTCGTTAAATGTCTATATATATAAAATTTGTTGTCTGTGTCTCGATTCTTATTCGGCATTTTATTCACATTTATGTATGTATGTGTACTATGTTTTGTGGACCTAACACCCTCGCGCGCGCATCCTCTTTCATCAATCTGTATTTACAATAACAAGACGTGAGAACGAAGAATTATTCATTCGTATCTCCATTTTATCGAATCAACGACTGAAATCAAACGAATTTATTATAATCAATTTATCTTATTTTTTTTTGCCCCGTTAAAATGTTTACTTTTATTTTGGTTGTTTTTAGCTGTGTCGGCTGTGTTGGTGTGTGCGCACAAATGATTGAATGGTTGTTGTAAATTTTAGAGAATGGACATTGTGTATAAAACGACAACGTTTGTTCAGACAGTGGACACGATTCGCGTTCCGTTCTGATACTGTCATTGCTGATCTGTATTTTTTGTTCTCTTTCTCTTTATTTTTCATCGTGTATTTTTCGTTGTTGCAAATCTACGGTTGTAAATGTGCGAGTGACTTCATGACTCCGATGACGGTGATGATGA